TATAAAAGATCAGCAAAAATAAATACTGATGTTGGTCTTTTAATCTGGAGGATGACTACTTGGATGTTCATATTATTATTAAAGAAACTAAACTGTACATAAGTGTTACATATTATATGTATAATAGAGTTCAAATAAAAATAAGAAAAACTGAGTTAGTCTAAACAGGCTTTTGGCTGTGGTCACTCAGTTGATCGAAAGAGAGAAAAACACTTTAAGCCTGCTAAATTTTTGAGGATACTATATTACCCCAAACATATCAAGTTTGCCTGAAAAACTCATGATTCTTCAACCCTTACTGTGCCCTGGATCCTGCATTTTTCACCAAGAGCGAGTGGATTGTGAACTTTTGCTTTCTCCCCAGGAAATTCATTTTCCCCGATGTCCATATCAGGTAGTTTTGAAGTAAGAACATCTTCCAAAGAGGTACATCAGGAGCTGGAAGGGGATGGATAATGGAGATCCTTTTAGAGAACAGAATCAGAGGCTGCCTGATCTGATTGGTAGTGCAAAGAACTTTCTCCATAGTTGGAACTTGGATATGGTAATATTCCTCCCTGGTGTGATTTGGTATGTGTCATGAACTAGTGTCTTGTGTGTTTCCCATTCTCCTCTTTTCTGAATGAGAGTTTTTATTGGAATTATCCTATTCTACCCTCATCATTATAATATTGGGTATTTTTTGGGGGGCAGGGAGCAGACAACTTTCTTCTTTTAGCTACTAACTGCCAAACTGTTAAGAGTGAATGACAGAGACTGCACAGATTCCAGACTTCAAGCTGGATGCAAGAGCTAACGGAGACATTGGGGGTTGCCTTCCTTAGGGGACTGATGAATGCATTCAATATAAAATGCTTGCATGGGAAGAAGGGTATGCATGGGTATTAAACAGTTTAAGGCATGAGCTGTGGCCGAGCCTATGGATTAACTAACCAAACAGGCATTTCTAATCCTCTCCTTGATCACCTCCATCATAGAACCTGGGAAACCTGAGTACTGTACTTGCTCTCCAAGCCTCCTCTATACAACCAGGGGTGGCCATGTGACATAGTCTGGTCTGGTCAGTGACACATGAATGGAAATCTTTTGGAGGTGGTTCTAGGAAAATGCTTTCTTACTTAATAAAAAGAGTAGCTGATGTTGCTCCCCACCCCCATTCTTTCTGCCTTGAATTTGCATATAATCAGGAGCTCTAGCAACCCTGGGGAAAATACCCTGAACCTACCCCAACACTTCTTTAGAGTAATATGACCCCCCACCATGTTTAATCAAACCACTGTTAACTGTATTATTCTGTCATTTTCAGAAGAAAGCCTTCCTGATTTACACATCACTGAAAAATGCTGATACTTCCTATCTCATTTTATGAGGACTGAATATGTAAAATGTCTTAACACTTGCCAAGGTAAGTGTCTCTCTTTCATGTCCCTCTGTCCATCTTATTTACTACATCAATTTAGATATGCTTTGTGGGTCAATTACAGTACCATTATACCTTTTAAAAATTAGAGCAGAGGTCAGAATTATATAATTATTCTAATTAGCAAAGGTGTCAGTTTTATACAAGATTAGGATATTTTCAATTATGTTCCATAGTCTTGTTACACATAGTATGTTTTGTTGACTTTGGTTGGAAGAGTTCACTGCTCCAGCATCTTCCTGGAAGAGTCTAAAATTGCACTGAGTCTATTATTTCCCTTTAGATTCATTAAATTGTGATGCTGGGGTTCTTGTTCACGGAGCTGAAGAATGAACTTCGCAAACACTCAAGATAGGAGAGCAAGGTAGAGTCTTTTATTTAGAGAGAAAGTGAGAGGACAGAGCTCCTGGCTCATGCCAGGAGGGGACAAGAGAGTCTGGGTGGTGCGTTGTCTAGGAGATTTATAGTTGGTTGAGGATTTTCAGGAATGGGTGCAAAGGGCTAGGGGTGCAGGCTTATAGATTGCTCATTTTTGATGAGTAGAAGAAATTTGCTGTTCTGATTTTTCTCAGGATAGCAGCTTCCCTCTGGGAACAGATCAGTTAAGACCGCCTGCCCTGCCCTCAGGGTGGGCTGGGTTGCTGCCTGTTTGCTAGAGTAAGTTAAGAATCTGACTTCCTAACTTTCTGGGATGTTTATAGCTGGGCTTGCTTACTAAATTAATCTTTTGCCTAGGTTGCAGATTACTAGATTAAAATTAGAGAAGGAAACAAAGTGAATGACAGAGACTGCACAGATTCCAGACTTCAAGCTGGATGCAAGAGCTAACGGAGACATTGGGGGTTGCCTTCCTTAGGGGACTGATGAATGCATTCAATATAAAATGCTTGCATGGGAAGAAGGGTATGCATGGGTATTAAACAGTTTAAGGCATGAGCTGTGGCCGACCCTATGGATTAACTAACCAAACAGGCATTTCTAATCCTCTCCTTGATCACCTCCATCATAGAACCTGGGAAACCTGAGTACTGTACTTGCTCTCCAAGCCTCCTCTATACAACCAGGGGTGGCCATGTGACATAGTCTGGTCTGGTCAGTGACACATGAATGGAAATCTTTTGGAGGTGGTTCTAGGAAAATGCTTTCTTACTTAATAAAAAGAGTAGCTGATGTTGCTCCCCACCCCCATTCTTTCTGCCTTGAATTTGCATATAATCAGGAGCTCTAGCAACCCTGGGGAAAATACCCTGAACCTACCCCAACACTTCTTTAGAGTAATATGACCCCCCACCATGTTTAATCAAACCACTGTTAACTGTATTATTCTGTCATTTTCAGAAGAAAGCCTTCCTGATTTACACATCACTGAAAAATGCTGATACTTCCTATCTCATTTTATGAGGACTGAATATGTAAAATGTCTTAACACTTGCCAAGGTAAGTGTCTCTCTTTCATGTCCCTCTGTCCATCTTATTTACTACATCAATTTAGATATGCTTTGTGGGTCAATTACAGTACCATTATACCTTTTAAAAATTAGAGCAGAGGTCAGAATTATATAATTATTCTAATTAGCAAAGGTGTCAGTTTTATACAAGATTAGGATATTTTCAATTATGTTCCATAGTCTTGTTACACATAGTATGTTTTGTTGACTTTGGTTGGAAGAGTTCACTGCTCCAGCATCTTCCTGGAAGAGTCTAAAATTGCACTGAGTCTATTATTTCCCTTTAGATTCATTAAATTGTGATGCTGGGGTTCTTGTTCACGGAGCTGAAGAATGAACTTCGCAAACACTCAAGATAGGAGAGCAAGGTAGAGTCTTTTATTTAGAGAGAAAGTGAGAGGACAGAGCTCCTGGCTCATGCCAGGAGGGGACAAGAGAGTCTGGGTGGTGCGTTGTCTAGGAGATTTATAGTTGGTTGAGGATTTTCAGGAATGGGTGCAAAGGGCTAGGGGTGCAGGCTTATAGATTGCTCATTTTTGATGAGTAGAAGAAATTTGCTGTTCTGATTTTTCTCAGGATAGCAGCTTCCCTCTGGGAACAGATCAGTTAAGACCGCCTGCCCTGCCCTCAGGGTGGGCTGGGTTGCTGCCTGTTTGCTAGAGTAAGTTAAGAATCTGACTTCCTAACTTTCTGGGATGTTTATAGCTGGGCTTGCTTACTAAATTAATCTTTTGCCTAGGTTGCAGATTACTAGATTAAAATTAGAGAAGGAAACACAGCATATAGGTACAGTTAAAAATAAGCTGGGCCTTTTAGCAGGCTAAGGTAAATTTTACAGTGTCTTGATCTAATTGATACAATAAAGTCACGGGTTATGTTGAGATACTCTTCTTTATCTGTAGACCGCTCAAACATTCCAGGCCAAGTTGTTCCTGGCTTTTGAGCTTTAACTGATTTCACTGAAGAATGCCTATATTCCTAGTTTGGTATCTTTACCCTAGAGAATTAGTGTGACCCTAAATTTGCATATGCTTAACACAGAGTGTCCATAGGGACTTCTTTGCACATTGTTACATTGTTCTGTCTGTAATTATCTTGCGTTGCCTTATTTTTCCAGAGGCCCTCACCCTACTCTGCCTAAACCCACGGTCCCTGTCTCATTATTGCACTAAGTCTATTATTTCCCTCTAGATTCATTAAATTGTATTTACCCACAGAGACACTCCCCTGCCACTTTAGCTGATATAGCTTGGCACTTTCTATTTGCCTTTGTTAGTTTAGCGCTGCCTAAAATCAGGGCGAGGTGCTCACGTAGAGATAAAACTGGCCATAGCAGCCCACAAGCTGATTGGAGAGCCCATAAGGTGTGACTGGAAATACTGAGGAGGGTTCCTTCCCCTAAAATAACTCCATTTCAGGATCACTCTTTTATCTATCTGACTTTTGAAAGCTTTTCACCCTTAAATCTCTATAAAATGCAAACGTGTTTGGGAGGTTTCAAGTCTATTGGCTAAGGCTGAGTTGACGGTAATACATTGGCGGAGAGTAATTAACAAAAAGTAGTGAGGATGTTAAGGTGGGAATGGGACCTGCCTGAGCAGGGAGGACCGACGTCAGAAAAGGGGGCACCGAAAAGGAAGGGGGGCTAGGAGGGGGCTAAATAATCCGTCTACATAATATCTTGCCTTTCGGACCCGAAATATTCAGGAAGGTACTTTTGAAATAAAGTATTGTGGCTTAATGAATTATTTTTCTTATTGTTTGCTGATTCTCCCTCCCAGATAATTATATAGAGGACGCTCAAGCTAATCTCCAGGGAGCCTCAGAGTTGAACGACTGTGGAATATTGGTGGATTTTCAACACCTTTTCCAGGTTGCTCTGCCCGATTATGGTCAAATTACCATTGGTATGGTACTTCCACTTTAAAAAAATTTTGTGGAGGATATTTGCAAAGGTTTAAGAAAGTCTGAACTGAATTGTTTCTATTTGTTTCCCCTTAAACCTGCCATTCACTTCTTTTGACGATCATGTTGCTTTAGTGACACTTATATTGGACTCGGACAACCAGGACTACTGATTTTACATCACTGTAATTTTTATTTATTTTATTTTTAAAGAATTTTATGTCGGTTTTCTTAAACTTCAAAATTGAAACCACTGCTGACAACTATGGGGAGGCGGGCCTCAATACAAAACTTTCTTAAAATAGGCGAAAAGAGCTGTACAAGGAAATAAACCATGTTCTATGCGTCCATTATATGCAGGGCATTGCACTCCCTCGTTACTTTGCAGGAAGACCTGCCAGACCAGGCGGAGGGAAAGCGACAGGACCAAGCTTTGAGCAGGGCGGGAAGCCATACCCCTTGCTGGGGGGCGCGTTGCTTGGAGACCCGGGTTTCAGAGCCGCGCGTGGGCCGCCAGGTGGAAGCGCGCGCGCCCTGTGTCGTCTCCTCTGCTGTGGGCTCGGCCAATCGGGAGGCGGGCGGGAGGTGGCGCGGCCGGCCGGGGCGGGGCCGGCTTGGCTGCTCAGGGCTTGGCTCGCGCGGGAGGTCGGCTCCTGGAGCGCGGCCCCGGCACCGCTCGCTTTTACCCGTCCGGCCATGGAGCGGCTGACGTTGCCTCCCGGCGGCGCGGCGGCCGTGGACGACTACCTGGAATACCGGAGGTGAGACGGTGGCTCCGCGGGTCAAGGAGACCCGAGCCGGCCCAGTTCCTCTCGCGCTCGCCCGCCGCAACTCCCGGAATTCCCGGGCTGTTGGGAAAGCTTCTGCTGACTTCAAGTTCCGTCTTTCTGTAATTAAATACTGTAACGACACGCAGTTTTTATGCTAATAAGACTTTCGAGGCTATGCGAGAGGTCTCCCGCCTCGACCCCTTCCAAGAAGGATTATCAAGTTGCGATTTATGGGCATTCAAGAATTACACATTGAGTTCTAGGAGCCTATAAAAGCAGATACCGGTTTGCGTGCGTTTAGCAATATGATAAGCCGTGAACTTCCAAACCAACCCGGAGGTGTTGGTTTTAAGACAAAGACCAGCTGGTATAGTTAAGTGGTTCTGGAGAAACTTGCCTCCCGAAACGAAAAGCAGCCACCCCTTTGTCTTCAGGACGACACTTACTGCTTTGGGCTCTGACAAGGGCTGAGGCACCTGTGGCGACGTGTTCTTTTTTCAGTTTCCCAAGAAAGGTTTTTGATAGTTGGGCAACTGGGTGAGTGGGAATTCCTGGAGAAGAACAGCCAGGAGGATGTGTTGTTGAAGCGGTGGAGGGGGCAGTGTGTGTATAAACGGAAAGTGAGACAATCACAGCCCAGCTTGGGAAACCTGAGCAAGAGGACTTGGGTGCTTTAAGTGGTCCTCCCAGATCCCCCAGGGTTGTTTGGGCAAATGGGTTCCCAGTTGACTGCACTCCCTCTGACTGTCTCGGTGGTATAGTTTGGGAAACGCCGAGAAATGGTTGGTAATTCTGAGCCAGAAAAGTCTGACGGGCCATGCCTCATCTACTGGACAGGTAGGTCCAGGTAAAGCCAGGAGTCCTGTGCCCAGAACAGTTCCCACCCAGCCTTCACTCAGGGCAGAGCCGATTCCTTTAGCCTCCAAGTCGCCCCAGTTCTTCTCTCAGAGCAAGTTGCTGGGCCCTGATGCTGATAATTTGATATTTAGATGTTTGGATATGTGGATTGTGGGCTTCCACTTTTAGTCTCTTGCCTGTTCCAGAAAATGTCAAGGCCTGGTGGGAAGTTATTTTTGCAAACAAACTGAAACAATTCACTATAAAAATGAGAGCTACTCAAACTGTAGCAATCGTGGGCCAGTGGTGTGGGAATCACCTGAGAGCTTGTTAGGAATGCAGAATCTTAGGCCCACTACAGATCTATTTATCTGAATCAGCATTTGAACTATATCTTTAAAACTCTGCATTGATTTTAAGGTCTTTACAGTACCTGTTGGTATACTTTGTGGTAGCCATAATAGAAAGTGAAATGGCTAAAAGCTTATTTCAGAATAAATTGCCTTTTTAAAAATTAACCGTTGTGTATCTAAATTATTTAAGGCAGAGGTGGTTTCATAACTTATGAATTGCTTTTATTTATCTACCTTGGCTAGAGGCTTGAAAGTATGGAAAAAGGTATGGATTGCACAAAAAATTATGTAGTATTCTATAATCAACACTTTTCATGACTTTCAGAGGTGGGTATTTTCTTTTTTTTTCAGAAACATGGCAATAGGCCAGTTTAATTGGCTTCCACGGTAACACAATTCTCTGCATTTCCATCTGCAGCTCAACTTTGTGGCATGCACACCAATTTTAGCATCTTCCCTGACAAAGATTGGTAGGAACATCTTTACAGATGAATACTTGTTCTCTTTATATATTTATTAAGGTATTACATTTTTATATATTTATTAAGGAAAGTGAGAAATATATAGAAATGTAGAAAGAAGTCTCACCACCCATACACTTGTATGAAGTTTTCACATGAAAAACCAATGTGGTCACTACATTCACCCATGTTATTGTGTCCCCCCATACCCCATTGCATTCACTGTCCAACAGTATAGTAAGATGCCACAGAGTCACTATTTGCCTTCTCTGTGCTACACTGTCTTCCCCATGATCCCCCTCTACACCATATGTGCCAATTGTAATGCCCAGAGGGGGATATTTTCAAGGAGATATTTCTTCAATTTTTACAAAATCTTTTGTGTTTCCTTTTCCTTTGAAGAGGACAACTCTTAATTTCTTAAGAAGTTAAGAAATAGCAGCTTATTTTTTTCCCATGAAAGTTTGAGGTCTTACCTCTGGAATTAAACAGTGCACCTGGTTTCTCAGCACAGATATGGGCCTCAGCAGATCTGAGGGTGTGTATTGCCCAAGGCTTAAGGTCTGGTATGGATATTTATTATGTTGTCTTCTGCATTCATGTTTTCTGTACTGTGTTTTTTCAGGGAGTACAATTTTTTAAGGAGGAAATTGTTAGAATTTTTAGCAGTCTAGGCTCCAGCTTTGAATGAGAAGAATGAACATTTTTGCTTCACAATCAAGGAAAAATTGAGATGAATATGTGGTAATTCTCCAGTGGGAACCTCAGTCTGTAAGGGCAGAAGTTATAAATTCATTGACTTATTTATAATCATCTTTTATATTATTTTATTATTCTTGTGTGTGATTTTGCTGTTAGCATGGACCTAAAGTAAGAAAAATAAATAAAATAAAAGCTGAAGCAGTCTTTCGTTTCACTCTCCAAATATAGTTTAATTTTGGAGTTTAGTATTTTTAGGGAAATAAATACTCAAGGCTTAGGGGAAGTATTTCTTTGTCATAGAATTGTTGGTGAGGACGATGGAGGGAAACTTTTTACTCCTGAAGAATATGAAGAATACAAAAGAAAAGTTCTACCTATGCGCTTACAGAACAGATTATTTGTGAGCTGGCGATCACCAGCTGGAATGGATTGTAAACTTGTGGGTCCAGAGACTCTGTGTTTTTGTACACATAGGTAAGATATTTTATTGCCAAGTTTTCTGATTGATTAGGAAATATGAAACTGTAGCAGAGCATATCTTCCTTCTATAATTAGTATTATTTATGATATAGGAACGCTTAAAAATAGGCCTTATCTAAAGTTTTTACAATTTTGGGGGGCAATAATTAAAACATTTCTATTATGTACTATTAGAATTCATTATAGAGTCCCTCAGCATAAGCATCAGCCATTGGCAACAAAGATATTAGTACTCCTATGGCTTTGGCTGGGGGCCTTCAGCTGGGCTCAGGAGCAGAGCCTACCTCTCCCACCACTGGACAAGGTGGTCAGGCTGTACAACTGCTTTAAGAGTTGCTTGTGTTGACCCACGCAGGACAGGTTATCATGTACAGATAGAAGCATTTCTACTCAGATTTACTCATTTACCTTTATACTTTAAGAATGTGTTGTGTTGATACCTTTCTTTAAACAAACAAAAATACAAGTACACAGCTTTTTATTACAAATGGTCCTTTTTCAAGAAAAGGAAGTACATGAGGCGCCAGTCACTGACACGGATTGCCTGTACCTGAGGTTTGCATTTGGCTGTGTTTGTTGTGTTCTACTTTAAATCTTCCTACTGTCACAGGTCACAACTGTCAGGCTCCCAAGGACAAAGCTGCTTCATTGAAAAAAGAATCACTGAACATACTGTGTGTTTTTAGGTAACAACTACAACTTTCTCTTCCAAAGGAACCATGGAGGGAGAACTGCCCTGTTCTGATAGTTTCTGGGGCTCTTTCATGAGAGGCTCTTTGTATAATTGCTGTTTACAGACTTGCAGTTTGCCAAAGGTTGTTAGGCACTTGCTAGGATGAGTAATGTTGTATATAGACTGATTTGAAACTATAGTAACCCCAACTAAAAACATGGGGGAGGAATGCAGGATTAGGGTAATGTTGGCATCTTTCAGAATTGAAGAGGAGTTTGGTTATCATTTATTCTTGTGTAAATTTAGTGCCAGTCTCTTATCTATAATTATATAGCATGAAACTATCCTTTAAAATTAACCCAACCTAACATTGATGAAAAGAATTCTTTAGTACCCGCCACTCAGTGAGATCTCTGTCTAAACCATTTTTTTCCCTATTATAAAAGTGAAACATGGTTATTAAGGAAAGTGAGAAATATATAGAAATGTAGAAAGAAGACTCACCACCCAAAGTCAACTGCTGTTAATACATTTTACCATACGCATGTATTTTTTTCTTTACATAGTTCATTTAGTTCTTGTTAATTATGTATGCAGATAAATAAATATATTGAAGAAGTTTTTCATGACAGAACCACAGAAATATGTTTCCACATTGTTATGCAGCAATCGCAAACAAGCTTTTTTGCATCCCTCAATATTCCAGCTAGTTCAGTGGTGTTCATTGTTTCCCAGAGCTGTGAGGAAGTCTCAGGGATGTACCAGGTGGAAGGGCAGGTTAGAGGAAGGACAGACTCCTATTCTGTCTCTTTCCCTTTCTTTAACCAATTCTGCATTTATCATTTTTTTTTGTATATTATGGTCTGTAAAAGATTGTTTTTTGAAGAAAGAGTTTCACTGCTGAAAAGTTTAAAAATGTTGTCTACTAAGTTATCCATTTCTTTATTTTTAGTATATTGTTTGTGTGTATGCCTGTGTGTATATTTATATATTTTTGCTATTTTAAATACTGTTGCTAATGCAGCTTTATGTATAAAGCTCTTTCTATATATGTAATTATTTTCTTAGGGCTTATTTACTAAAAATGAACTGGGTTAGAGAATGGATCTTTTTAAAAGCTTTTTGAAACATTATTAAATGGGATTGTTTCTTTTAACATTTTTGACAGCATCATGAATTAGGTATGTTTAAAGAATCTTTACCTCTCTTTGTAAGTGAAAAATGGTATTTCATTGTTATCTTAACTTCTATTACCTAGATTAATATTGAGAATAAATGTAATATTATTTTACTGAGTATCACCTTATGGAAAAATGAGTAGCCTATTTAAGATAATGATATACAGTGTATTGACAGAGAACTTTGGCTTTTAAAAATGTTGATAAATCATTTTGAAGTTTAAAGTTAAAAATTAAATTATAATAACTTTTATTTCAATTTTAAATAAAACCTTTGCAAATAAGTTTAAGCAATGTACTCTGATAAATAAATTTTTATAAAGAACTTTTTTCATACTCAGGTTATGCTTTCATACTAAAGAATTGTTAAGTATTTTAAGGGAATTACATGTCATTCTTTATATATTGTTGAGAAAACTGCTTTTAAAAGACTAAAAATAAAAAAACCTAAAAGAGTAAAGATTTTCTCTGACCAGAGCAATATAGCAGACAGAAATAATGCATATAGGGGAGTTTATTTTCCCCTTACTAATAAGAACAACAAAATAAAATAAAAAAGGATTATTTTGCATTTAACAGAATAGACATTCTCATTTCTGGCAATACCTGCATTGTCTTTTTATTTCTTCTCTTTTTTTTCTTAGGTATAAACAACATAAAACTGACTTTGAAACAATTCCGCAGCAGCGCCCCATTGGTCTGCCTTGCCGAGTGCCTGGCTGCCCCTGCAGGGCTTACCTGTACATCCCTTTGAATGGTGCGCAGCCCATTCGCTGCAGGTGCAAACACTTTGCCGATCAGCACAGTGCTGCGCCTGGCCTCCTATGCAATGCCTGTGAGTTACGTTATCATAAACACACAAACAGTATGTTTTTATTTCTTTATTGAATATTTAATGTGTCTTTGTGCCAGTTTTATTCAGCTAGAGAGTCAGTATTAACCAAGAAGAATTGATGGATAGTTATTCTAAAATTTTATTTTTGTGGAAATACTCAGTTGTTTATATGCTTTGCAATCATAAACCCTAATATCATATAATTCAGATAAGTGTAGTAGTGGATTTTGAAGACTCACTAGACATGATCTGATTCAAATTTTTGAATAGTGGGAGTTTTATCAACTAAATTCTACTTACAGGATTTTAAAAAGAATTTGATGAGTGGGAAAACATTTTATAATTCTTGGTAGATTATTATGTTATTTCTTAGAACATAGGCTGATGGGAAAAGCAGAAAGTAGCAGGATGATCATAACTTTTTATATGCAATAGCACCCTTACCTCATAACTATACCCAAATCCAAATCTCCGTCCCATAGGACCTTTTAGTTGATCATACTTTTAAAAACCCTTTAGTATAGGTAGGATATTGGTTCAGTATATTTACTTCAAGACATAGTTAATCCAGTTGTTTGTGCAGTAGTTTCAATTGAAATCCTATGATAAAATGTATGACATTTTTAATGACATTGGCAAGAATAAATGTGTTTTATTGGCTAAGCATGGAAGTAGTTTGATAAACTTTATTACATGCCTTGTTTCCTATGCACATTTGTCAGAAGTGTGAGTGTGTAAAAATTTTGTTCCTGGGGTATTCTAGCCTCCATTTCAGTATGGCTTGCTTTTTTGTGTGTGTATGTAACAATTTTATTAAGATATCATTCACATACTGTACAACTCATCCATTTCAAGAGTGCAGTTTAATGGTTTTTAATATATTCACAGAGTTGGGCAATCATCACCAATAAATTCCAGAATATTTTCATCACCCCAAAAAGAAACCCTTCAGCCATTAACAGTCATTCCTTATTCTTCTGTCTCTCCAGCCATAGGCAACCAGTGATCTACTTTCTGTCTCTGTGGAATTGCCTATTCTAGGTATTTTGTATAAATGGAATCATAGAATGTGTGGTCTTTTTGACTGGCTTCTTTCACTTGGCATAAAATTTTTATGATATTCCATTGTGTCCTTTTTGTATCTGTGGGTTGCCTTTCCAGTATGGTTTTTATGGGGAATTGATCTATAGGGAGGTTGCCACATTATCTTTTTACCTGGTCCTGGCCACTGGGCTGTTCCCGCTACACCTGTTTGGTTTTTTTTTTTTAATTTTTTAATTGAAGTATCATTGATATACAATCTTGTATTAGTTTCAAATGTACAGAAATGTACAACACAGTGGTTCAACAGTTACCCATATTATTAAATACTCACCCCCACTAGTGTGGTTACTATCTGTCAACATAGAAAGATGGTACAGAATCATTGACTATATTCTCCATGCTGTACTACCATCACATGACCAACTTATATTTTGATTGAAATTTTTGCTGCCACACCTTTTTCAAAATTAAAATATCATTAATATACAATCTTAGGAAGGTTTCACATGAACAACATTGTGGTTTCAACATTCACCTACATTATCAAGTACCCCCAGTCCCCAACTCCATAGCAGTCACTGTCCATCAGCGTAGTAAGATTCTATAGAGTCACTACTTGCCTTCCATGTGCCCCCCTACCTTGTGTGTGCTAATCGAAATGCCCCTTATTCCCCTTATCCCTCTCTTCCCATCCATCCTCCCCAGTCTCTTTCCCTTTGGTAACTGTTAGTCCATTATTGGGTTCTGTGAGTCTGCTGCCATTTTGTTCTTTCAGTTTTGTTTTGTTTTTATACTCCACAAATGATTTAAGTCATTTGGTACTTGTCTTTCTCCACCTGGCTTATTTCACTGAGCCTAATACCCTCTAGATCCATCCATGTTGTTATAAACGGTAGGACTGTTTTCTTTTTATGGCTGAATAATATGGCTGAAAAATATTCCTTTGAATCAGGGATCTTGTTTTCTCTGGGTAAATTCCTGGGTTGAATGGTATTTCTATTTTTAGTTTTTTGAGGAACTTCCATATGGCTTTCCACAAATGGTTGAACCGATTTGCATTCCCACAAACAGTGTAGGAGTATTACCCTTTCTCCACATCCTCATCAGCATTTGTTTTTTCTTGCCTTTTGGGTAGTGGCCATCCTAACTTGGTGTAAGGTGATATCTCATTGTGGTTTTAATTTGCATTTCCCTGATGATTAGCGATGTGGAGCATCTTTTCATGTGCCTGTTGGCCATTTGAATTTCTTCTTTGGAGAAGTGTCTGTTCAGATCGTCTGCCCATTTTTTAATCAGATCATTTGTTTTTTTGGGTGTTAAGGCAGCCACATCTGCTTTTAACTGTAGTATCTGAGGAGAGGGCCTGTGTTTCCAGGATTTCCAGTATTTAGCTCAATTTCTTTTAGTTCTAGTTGGTTTTTTTCAATTTTTTTCCCCTGCCACATACTTCCTTACCATTTTAGCAGCTTTTGGAAGTAAAAGCAGTGAATGGGAGGGTTTTGGGGCTGGAGGTAGGAGTTAAAGGGGCCAAAGGCCAGCGTATGAGGAATACAGATTCAGGGGCTTTTGGCCAAGTCAAGTATTTTTAGCGTAGACAGCAGTACCTATATTTTAAAATATTTAACTCCCTTTACCTTTGATTCAGGTTCCCAATGTTCAGGATTCCACAGTTGCTTCACTTGTGTTTGTGGTCAGCCTGCATATGCACATGACACAGTAGTGGAAACTAAGCAAGAAAGACTTGCCCTGGGAAAACCAGTGGGACGGGATGCTCCTTATGCAGCAATGGGAGGATTAACTGGCTTCAGCTCACTGGCAGAAGGCTACATGCGATTAGATGACAGTGGAATTGGTAAGTGATGATATATGAAATGTGAGTTTGACATACTGTTTTTATGTGTGTTAACAGTAGTGAAGCTTTTAGAGGGATTACAGATGGAAGCCTGAGAGGTGAGAAAGAGACTTCCTTGTAAAACCACATATAATACAAAAATATAATTAATACAACTAATCCTGAAAGAGCAACAACAAAGAAGGCTATGACAGACTGCATACACCTGGAGAAAAGAACAGACCTCATGGAACAGGGTAATGTACCAAAGCCGTGACCTGGTGGACCCAAGACCTTTCCCCACCCCAGCTCATGGGCAGGAGCAAGAGAAACAGAGTGGGGA